GGGGGTGAATTCGCTGAAGGTGGTTGCCTTCAATGGTTTTCCAATACTACGCCGCCATTTTTCCAAATTATGTGTAAAGCGAATTTGAACACCCATCGGGTATTTGTGCAGCAGCAGGTTGATGTGACTGGCATCGATCATTTCCAGAACTTCTTCGTCGATTTTTTCGTCTGGAATAGAAAAAATGAATTAGAATTGTTTTTTATGGGAAAAATAGGCGTGGATTTTTTAAAGAATATTTTTTTCAGAGCCTTCATATAGGCGTGGATTTTTTAAAGAATATTTTTTTCAGAGCCTTCATATAGGCGTGGATTTTTTTAAAGAATATTTTTTCAGAGCCTTCATATAGGCGTGGATTTTTTAAAGAATATTTTTTCAAGGACCACCTAAGGCGTGGATTTTCTAAAGAATATTTTTTTTTTATAAAGAATATTTTTTTCAGAGCTGCAACCATACAAGGCGTGGATTTTTTAAAGAATATTTTTTCAGAGCTCCAACCATACAAGGCGTGGATTTTTTAAAGAATATTTTTTTCAGAGCCTTCATATAGGCGTGGATTTTTTAAAGAATATTTTTTTCAGAGCCTTCATATAGGCGTGGATTTTTTAAAGAATATTTTTTTCAGAGCCTTCATATAGGCGTGGATTTTTTAAAGAATATTTTTTTCAGAGCCTTCATATAGGCGTGGATTTTTTAAAGAATATTTTTTCAGAGAAAAAACTTAGACCTGAGGGTCTGCGAATTTTTTTCTATAGAAAAAACTTAGACCTGAGGGTCTGCGAATTTTTTTTTCTATAGAAAAAACTTAGACCTGAGGGTCTAAAGAATATTTTTTTTCTATAGAAAAAACTTAGACCTGAGGGTCTGCGAATTTTTTTCTATAGAAGAAACTTGACTTACGGTCTTTGTGATTTTTTTTTTATAGAAAAAACTTAGACCTGAGGGTCTGCGAATTTTTTAGAAAAAACTTAGACCTGAGGGTCTGCGAATTTTTTTCTATAGAAAAAACTTAGACCTGAGGGTCTGCGAATTTTTTTCTATAGAAAAAACTTAGACCTGAGGGTCTGCGAATTTTTTTCTATAGAAAAAACTTAGACCTGAGGGTCTGCGAATTTTTTTCTATAGAAAAAACTTAGACCTGAGGGTCTGCGATTTTTTTTTCTATAGAAAAAACTTGGACCTGAGGGTCTGCGAATTTTTTTCTATAGAAAAAACATAGACCAGAGGGTCTGCGAATTTTTTTCTATAGAAAAAACTTAGACCTGAGGGTCTGTGAATTTTTTCTATAGAAAAAACTTAGACCTGAGGGTCTGCGAATTTTTTTCTATAGAAAAAAACTTAGACCTGAGGGTCTGCGAATTTTTTTCTATAGAAAAAAAACTTAGACCTGAGGGTCTGCGAATTTTTTTCTATAGAAAAAACTTAGACATGAGGGTCTGCGAATTTTTTTCTATAGAAAAAACTTGGACCTGAGGGTCTACGAATTTTTTTCTATAGAAAAAACTTGGACCTGAGGTTCTGCGAATTTTTTTCTATAGAAAAAACTTAGACCTGAGGGTCTGCGAATTTTTTTCTATAGAAAAAACTTTGACCTGAGGGTCTGCGAATTTTTTTCTATAGAAAAAACTTTGACCTGAGGGTCTGCGAATTTTTTTCTATAGAAAAAACTTTGACCTGAGGGTCTGCGAATTTTTTTCTATAGAAAAAACTTTGACCTGAGGGTCTGCGAATTTTTTTCTATAGAAAAAACTAAGAGCTGAGGGTCTGCGAATTTTTTTCTATAGAAAAAACTAAGACCTGATGGTCTGCGAATTTTTTTCTATAGAAAAAACTAAGACCTGATGGTCTGCGAATTTTTTTCTATAGAAAAAACTTAGACCTGAGGGTCTGCGAATTTTTTTCTATAGAAAAAACTTTGACCTGAGGGTCTGCGAATTTTTTTCTATAGAAAAAACTTTGACCTGAGGGTCTGCGAATTTTTTTCTATAGAAAAAACTTTGACCTGAGGGTCTGCGAATTTTTTTCTATAGAAAAAACTTAGACTTGATGGTCTGCGAATTTTTTTCTATAGAAAAAACTTGGAACTGAGGTTCTGCGAATTTTTTTCTATAGAAAAAACTTGGAACTGAGGTTCTGCGAATTTTTTTCTATAGAAAAAACTTGGAACTGAGGTTCTGCGAATTTTTTTCTATAGAAAAAACTTGGACCTGAGGGTCTGCGAATTTTTTTCTATAGAAAAAACTTGGACCTGAGGGTCTGCGAATTTTTTTCTATAGAAAAAACTTGGACCTGAGAGTCTGCGAATTTTTTTCTATGAAAAAAACTTTGATCTGAGGGTCTGCGAATTTTTTTCTATAGAAAAAAACTTAGACCTGAGGGTGTGCAAATTTTTTGTCTATAAAAAAAAATTTGTCTGGGGGTTTGCAAATTTTTCTCTAAAAAACTTGGACCTTATATTCCTCGAAAATTTGTATATACCAAAAATTTTGTTTTTAGAAAAATCTTGAATCTAAGGGTCAGAGAATCCTTTAGTCTATATCATCCTTAAATTTCCCTGATATACTAACTACAATAAACATGTTATCTAGTAACCGTTATTTTTTGTCCAATAACATTACTGTTAAAATTCAATTATGTTAATTACATTATTGAGGACAATATTCCAATGTATATTTCGATTGTTTGAGGATACATTCCTGATATCAACAGAATTTCCCACACAGAATCCCCACTTCTTCTCATCGAAAACAAATCCACAGAAAACCGTGACCTCACACAATTATATGCGAACAATAAAAAAAGAAATCAAAACAAAATCCAAAATACTTACCAATAAATTGTTCCAATAGAAATTCTAAACTCCATGATTTCAATATTTTTTTCAATCTCTCAATGGATTCCTTGGGCAATTCAGGGATATCCATGGCCGCGAGGGAAATAATTTCACAAAAAAATAAAAAAGGAAAACAAAAATTTTGCAAAAAAAAAAACTAAATTTTTATTTCGTGTAAAACATGCGTTTTCTGTGTAGTAAATATTGTGAAATTTTTATTAGATTTTGAAAAACAAAAATAGATTCGTTTATTGGGGGGAAAATTGTGCTGCTGAGTTGAATTACAAAAAATGACTGACTGCCTAGTGGACTGTGCCCTGCGTTCAATGCGAATTTTTGTTTTTCCCAGAGAGTGAGTGAGTATGCCACAGGCCACTTGTGGCCAAGAGGAAATCTCATCAACAACACACAAACACACACCACATGTCCCGGCCATGTGTAAAAATGTCTTCCGCACAATGCGACAGCCTATGTCGTCATCCGCCATCAACAACAGAGTCAAATAAAAAATAAATTGCCAGCCGCAATTTTCCCTGATTCTGTTTATTTTCTTATTTGCCTAACTGCCGGTATTCAAAATCTGCCTCTCTTTTAATTTGCATATCAAGGAAGTGGCTCTCTTAGCAACACTCTTAAATTCTGGCCATAGCTGGGAATTGCCCACATTTCCTCTAATAAGCATTCCTTTTCTTTGTTTTTCTTTTTTGCCTGCCTGTTGGCGGGTTTCTCCTTTATGCTCTCAATGAGAAAATTACTCTCTTATTTGTTCTCTTCAAAGTTGGACCGAGTTGGAATTTTCCGATGTGTTTTTTGTGGACATATTTGTTTATTGCAGGGGTTTTACTTAAGGGCGGTGTGTTTACCTTATGTTAAGCACATGGGCTGGCCATTCGAATATCCTTAGACAGGACAATGGGCTGGTGAACATATGACGCCCTTAAGTGTGTCCTTATTTTGAAGTCAAATAGAATTTCAATGTCCCTTGTGTATTATTTATAAAAAAAGGGTTTATCACTACTTCCTTCCTCACACAACTGAAATTTGATTGCCTTCACAAAATTTTATCTATACAAAAAAGGACCCAAGGATCTGTGAATTTTTATAGAAAAAATAAATAGAAAAAAAGGAACTGAGGATTTTTGTGTACCTGAATTTTCTATAGAAAAAACTTGGACCTGAGGGTCTTTTCTATAAAAAAATGTGGACCCGAGTGTCTGCGAATTTTTTCCTATAGAAAAAAATGTGGACCCGAGGGTCTGTGAATTTTTTTCTACAGAGAAAAAATTTGGACCCGAGGGTCTGTGAATTTTTTTCTATAGAAAAAAATGTGGACCCGAGGGTCTGTGAATTTTTTTCTATAGAAAAAAATGTGGACCCGAGGGTCTGTGAATTTTTTTCTATAGAAAAAAATGTGGACCCGAGGGTCTGTGAATTTTTTTCTATAGAAAAAACTTGGACCTGAGGGTCTGCGAATTTTTTTCTATAGAAAAAACTTGGAGCTGAAGGTCTGCGTTTTTTTTTTCTATAGAAAAAACATGGACCTGAAGGTCTGCGAATTTTTTTCTATAGAAAAAACTTGGACCTGAGGGTCTGCGAATTTTTTTTCTATAGAAAAAAAACATGGACCTAAAGGTCTGCGATTTTTTTTCTATAGAAAAAACATGGACCTAAAGGTCTGCGATTTTTTTTCTATAGAAAAAACATGGACCTAAAGGTCTGCGATTTTTTTTTTCTATAGAAAAAACATGGACCTAAAGGTCTGCGATTTTTTTCTATAGAAAAACATGGACCTGAAGGTCTGCGATTTTTTTTCTATAGAAAAAACATGGACCTGAAGGTCTGCGATTTTTTTTTCTATAGAAAAAACATGGACCTGAAGTTCTGCGATTTTTTTCTATAGAAAAAACATGGACCTAGAAAAAAACATGGGCCTGAAGATCTGGGGTTTATTTTTCTATAGAAAAATCATGGACCTGATGGTTTGCGATTTTTTTTCTATTTGTTCAAGGGGTAAAATAGGCGTGGATGGAAGACTACATTCAGCTCACATTTAAATATTTCCTTCTGCTCGTCGATAAAGACTCCTTCAGTCCATACAAATATAGATATTTATTAATTTTAATAATTAATTATTACAAAAAATATTCGACTTATATACTTATAAATGCTAATTATTTATATCAGGTTTCACATTATCTTCCTTTTCCCCAGCATCCTCTGACCAGGCATCGAAATTTGTCATATTTTCATCTTCATATGTCTCATCCAATTTCCCCGCCACATCACGTTGTGGAGTAGTAGTGTGCGTTTCAATATTTCGTTCGCTACGCTGTTTTCGCATCCTTTTCATATTCACAAATCGGACATAGATTTTACCCCGCTTTTCCGTACGATAATACTGCAACTTTTCACTGGGGAACATTTGGAAAATTTCCCGCTCCAATTTATAGCTAATTTGCAGCGATAGATTATATTCATGTTCTTCAAAGAAATCACAAATGACTCGTATAAGTTCCGATCGCTGAGAAGTGGTGAAACCCTGATGCTGTTCATAATATTTAACGATGGCTATGCCACGATCTCCAGACATTTGCAGGATTTGTGGTAAATTATAGGGACAGGGGATTTTATGGCGCAAAGGATCGCCACCATGGGTACTACCATCGTCATTATCCGATTGCATAGTATCATCGGCGAAACGTCGTTGTGTTGCGGAACGCAATTCATATTTGGGAAGAATTTCTTGATTTTGAATATTAATATTTTCCTGTGAAAATGTTGGGGGTTTAATTGCAGGTTGGGGGCCTTCAATCGGCATGGGTTCTTTGGGTATTGTTTCGTATAACATCGCATGTCCATTGTAAGTTATATTTGCCAAACGTTCGGTTTTACAGTTACAGGAACATTTAGAGTCTTCTTCACCTTGAAATGGTATTCCAATACGATTTCGCCATATTTCAAAATAATGTTCGAAACGTATTCGTACACCCATTTTGTAATTTTTTAACAACTGTCGAAGGTGGCGATTTTTAATGAGTTTCAGCTCTTCAATGGAAATTTCTTCATCTGTAAAAAATGAAAAGAAAATGTTAGAATTATTTGTGAAGGTAAAAATCTCAGACCCTTGGGTCTAATGTTTTTCTATAGAAAAAAATCATAGGTAATTTTTCTATACAAAAAAAAATTAAAGGACCATAGGTCGGAGTTATTTCTATAAAAAATAGTTCATAGAATCTTAGGCCTGATCTCTTGTATAGAAAAAAAAATCTAATACCCTTAGGCCTGATTTTTCAGTAGGAAAAATGGACATGTGAAGTTGTTGTTGTTTTTTTTTTAATCTCCCATTTTTTTATTAATTTAATATTTTTCACAATTTTCATGTACATTATTGTCTGTTTATTATTTAACAAAGAATTATCCCCAAATGTGTTCTGCGCATGCATTCTAGAATGCATTACTTCCACATCACTTACCACGAAACAAATTGTAAAGTATTTCACAGTGCCACGATGTGAGTAGACGTTTCAAATCCGTGTTCTCGGAGGAGTAGTTCATGATTCCAAGGGTGTCAGAAATATTTCAGAAAAATTTTACAGTATGACACTGACAGAATGCAGATATAAATACTGGGTAGATAGGCCGCTGAAATTGTAACAGGGACAGCAAAAACAACAATGACTTCTTTCGTCGATTTAATCCTCTCGCAAGTAGTGAGGAGCAAAATATCCTAATGCGGTTTTTTATATTTTTATTCATTCATTATTGACAAAAATATACCGGTAAAATAACGAAGAAATCGAAGGATATATTTTTTCTATATTTTTATCACCTCAACCGAACCGAACGAATGCATAGCTAGAACTGAACCGCATACATTTTGTTCGTGGACATAATAAACAACATATTCTTCCTCAACATTTTCATTATTATCTGCATCATCATCATCTTGTTCGGCATCAACGTCATTAACACAAAACTTATTGAATGAGGGCTGAAATTGTGTGCGAATATATATTGTCCTGAGGCACAGTGTTTCGCATTGGATTTTTTGAGGGATATTTTTTAAGGCCTCCAATGGACGTGGATTTTTTAAAGAATATTTTTCAGGGTCTAACACAAGGCGTGGATTTTTTAAAGAATACTTTTTAGGGTCTAACACAAGGCGTGGATTTTTTAAAGAATACTTTTTTCAGGGTCTAACACAAGGCGTGGATTTTTTAAAGAATACTTTTTAGGGTCTAATACAAGGCGTGGATTTTTTAAAGAATACTTTTTAGGGTCTAACACAAGGCGTGGATTTTTTAAAGAATACTTTTTCAGGGTCTAACACAAGGCGTGGATTTTTTAAAGAATAATTTTTCAGGGTCTAACACAAGGCGTGGATTTTTTAAAGAATACTTTTTAGGGTCTAACACAAGGCGTGGATTTTTCAAAAGAATACTTTTTAGGGTCTAACACAAGGCGTGGATTTTTTAAAGAATACTTTTTAGGGTCTAATACAATGCGTGGATTTTTTAAAGAATAATTTTTAGGGTCTAACATTTTTTAAAGAATACTTTTTAGGGTCTAACACAAGGCGTGGATTTTTTAAAGAATACTTTTTAGGGTCTAACACAAGGCGTGGATTTTTTAAAGAATATTTTTCAGGGTCTAACACAAGGTGTGGCTTTTTTAAAGAATACTTTTTTCAGGGTCTAACATAAGGTGTGGCTTTTTTAAAGAATACTTTTTTCAGGGTCTAACACAAGGCGTGGATTTTTTAAAGAATACTTTTTAGGGTCTAACACAAGGCGTGGATTTTTTAAAGAATACTTTTTAGGGTCTAACACAAGGCGTGGATTTTTCAAAGAATACTTTTTTGGGTCTAACACAAGGCGTGGATTTTTTAAAGAATACTTTTTTGGGTCTAATACAAGGCGTGGATTTTTTAATGAATACTTTTTAGGGTCTAACACAAGGCGTGGATTTTTTAAAGAATACTTTTTAGGGTCTAACACAAGGCGTGGATTTTTTAAAGAATACTTTTTAGGGTCTAATACAGGGCGTGGATTTTTTAAAGAATACTTTTTTGGGTCTAACACAAGGCGTGGATTTTTTAAAGAATACTTTTTAGGGTCTAACATAAGGCGTGGATTTTTTTAAGAATACTTTTTTGGGTCTAACATAAGGCATGGATTTTTTTAAGAATACTTTTTATGGTCTAACACAAGGCGTGGATTTTTTTTAAGAATACTTTTTATGGTCTAACACAAGGCGTGGATTTTTTATATTCATATTTTTTCAAGCATACACAGGAGACGAGGCGACGATTTATTAAAAAATATTTTTTCAAGCATCCACATGAGGCGATGATTTTTTAAAGTAAATTTTTTTAAGTCGAACCAAAGTAACTTTTTTCGACTACGAGTAAAATTTAAATTTCATCAATATGTGTATAAGTATTGGAACACTGTAAGGTGCTTTCCATGTAATTGTTAAATTCGTTTGTTTTGTCCTTATACAGATTTATGTCAGCCACGTATGTACATTTCATAAACTCTATGAAAGCCGTTCATTCATTCATGACACACAAAAGCCCTACTGCCAAGCTGTCAGAAAGTGTGCGCTAACTGATGCTCACTGGCCGATTAAACGCTTGTAATTGTAAACAAACAACAGGGAAGCCGTTTAGAACGTAACGTCCTTCGATGTTGGAGTTTGTTTCGCTGTGGGAAGAAATTTACATTTGGTTGGCTGAAAGGACTATTGCTTCAGTTTGCAACTGGTGGTGAGCGTTGTTCGGACAGCCGTTTTGTTGTTCCCCCTTCAGGTTGTATTGTTCTTCGATTTGATGTTAACATTTTCGACAGGGTTGATTTTGTTTTGTGGTTAAATATAAAAATATTTCCATGTTCTTTGTTTCAAAAAAAAAAAAACTTTTGTTCTCCTGCAAATGATGCTACTTGACACCGATTTTGTGATTTGTGTTAAAAAGCATAACAAAATAATGATGACACTAAATTTGTTTAATGGATTTAGATAAAAACCCATGTAACGACCGCATATTGTATCTGCTCAATCATGCGTAGCTATCTGTGTGTGTTTTCGGAAATGAAATAGTAGCTTTTTCAAAATTAAAACAATTGGAAGTGTTTCCCTTTCATAATGTTGTCACACTTGCTCACCAACAAATTATCAGCTTTTAATCTGTTAATAATGTTTGCCAACCTCCCTTGTGGTCTGAATAAAAATATTTGGTTCAGGACTATTTCTACGGTTGTCAGTTGCAGCGATATTTGAAAAAAAAAGGAGTGGTTACTTTTACAACCATGTTAATTAAATCATTTCATGTAAAATTAGCAGGAAATATATTTTAAAAAATCCACACCTATTATGATCTCAAAAAATATATATTTTTTATATAAATCCACTCCAATTTATAAAATTAAGAAATATAATTTTTTAAGAATCCAAGCCTAATTATGATCCTCAAAAAAAGTATCTTCACAAATCCTCAACTATTTAAGATTTAAATATTAGGTTCCACCTCCCCAACAAAATCTCTAATGTGAAAAATAAAGGATTCTGAAGAGAACAAGATTTTCAATAAGAGATGCTATCAGAGAATCTCTGAAATTTTTAAATTTAATTTGTTTGCTTTTTTTGCCTACAATGATTAGGGGAGACTGGGGCACCTTCGGCATCGGGGCACCTTCGGCAATCGCGTTTTCGATATGAAGTTCTCACCGTACATCACTAGTTTCGATACATAGGTATCGAATATCGAAATAAATAACTGACACAAAGTTTGAAATTTCTAGCTAATAAGCTTATTTAGATACATAGGTTTTTGTATTTTTATAGATGTTTCTGTAATATTTCAATCCCATTTCGTAAGTATTTCGTGTATAAAACTTTTAAAATTTTTAAGACAATATTATTAAAAAGTGGTTAACTACGATGTGTATTATTACAAAAATGTTTAAAAATATAATGTTTTAGAAATCTGATCGAAAAAAATGAAAAAAACTATAAAAAGTACATTCGGGGTACATTCGGCATTTTACAATGGGGCACATTCGGCCATATACAGATTGTGCAATAGTATTTCCTTAAAATGTTTTTGAGTTTGTCTTTAAAACTAATCCTTTAATATGGCTCGAAATTGCATATTTAAGATCAAACGTGCTGGTATTGACGAAAATGCGATAGAAAACCCCTATTTCTGATGGTGTGTGCGACCTTGAGATGTAAACGTCCGCCGCTAGAAAATAAAGCCATACAATTCAAACATTGTGTGGCTTATTAAAACCAAATAGAGCCTTTAGAGGATCAGAATTTCAACCAGTCTGATAGCGATGACAATTACCCGGCTATGACTATCCAATTTATAAAATTAAGAAATATAATTTTTTAAGAATCCTGCCGAATGTGCCCCATCAAATGCCGAAGCTACCCCAATTTGGGGCACATTCGGCGAATTTGACTTTTTTACAAAACTGTAAAATTTTTTAACTAATACTATTTTTTTATATCTTTTTGGTACTATTTTTTATAATTAAGAGTCAGAGGACAATAATCAGCCATAAAGTTTTTATATATGTTGAATAAGTACTGAGATATAGAGCTCTAAAAAAAAAGTGCCGAAGGTGCCCCAGTCTCCCCTACCAAGCAATCAAATATTATGTAAAAATCATAAAGGATGCTGTTATATTCCCCAACATTTGTCTGTTATCAACAACCACTATTTTTCTTCGCCCAATATTTATATGCATATCAACCATTAAGCGGAGACATCGACCATGATTCATGCCAACAATAAATAATCATTCACCATGAAGGTGGTAAGAAATCCACAAGTTATTGTGAATAGTTTCTAATTTGTAAATGAATCAGAATAAGCAGAACAGTAATGTTCGGAGAAAAACATAAGGCTAGACGTTTTAAAAATTATTTTTTGAGACCCTACATAGGCGTAGATTTTTAAAAAATGTTTTTTAGAGATCCTATATAGGCATGGATTTAAAAAAGAATTAGAGACCCTACATAAGCATGGATTAAAAACATTAGAGACCCCACATAGGCGTGGATTTTTTAAAATTATTTTTAGAGACAACCACAGGCGTGGATTTTTTCAAAATTATTTTTAGAGACAACCACAGGCGTGGATTTTTTCAAAATTATTTTTAGAGACAACCACAGGCGTGGATTTTTTCAAAATTATTTTTAGAGACAACCACAGGCGTGGATTTTTTCAAAATTATTTTTAGAGACAACCACAGGCGTGGATTTTTTCAAAATTATTTTTAGAGACAACCACAGGCGTGGATTTTTTCAAAATTATTTTTAGAGACAACCACAGGCGTGGATTTTTTCAAAATTATTTTTAGAGACAACCACAGGCGTGGATTTTTTCAAAATTATTTTTAGAGACAACCACAGGCGTGGAATTTTTCAAAATTATTTTTAGAGACAACCACAGGCGTGGATTTTTTCAAAATTATTTTTAGAGACAACCACAGGCGTGGATTTTTTCAAAATTATTTTTAGAGACAACCACAGGCGTGGATTTTTTC